CCCTAACTCTCCCGATCTGTGTGTGTTATAGTATATACCTCGTTTTCCCAATTTCCAGATAGCCACGTCATCTCGTTTTGCAGCCGCGCGATCGAGAGACGGGGGGACTGCCTCTCGGACGTCGATTTTCTACTTATCTAAGCGCGAGCAAAAACCAAACCCGATATGAACCCACTTATCAGCTGGGATAATCGAAGAGAGAGGATTTGAGAGGTCAACTCTGCGCGCGAGAGAGAGGCGTACATTTCCTAATGGATAAGAATCTCCTTCGAAATCTATATAATATATATACCTTTGTACCTACAAAGCACACACACACACACACACACACACAGCGATCGCAGACGAGGGTAGTTCACGCAGTTGCACACACAGTTTTTGCCTCTTTCGCTCGGATCTTGTTCTAGAAGCGATTCGCGAACAAGGCGAGCGCAGCGATCATCGTTAGATAAACACTGCTGGCTGACTCTCTCTCTCTCTCTCTCTCTTTGAATTCAATGGAACGCGATAGCGTCTCTCCGATATTTATACCACGTGGTATTTTACAACGATTTCTAAATAACGGACTTCTAAATCGAAATTTTATTGGTGCAAAAAAAGCTTCGAGCTCGATGCGCTGCTCGTTCGTGAATTCTTCGAATCGCGAATTACTAACTTTCGACAAATCCATGCGCATATTTTTTGCAAACATACACACACACCCGTAAAAGAAAAAAAGCTCTTAGCTGTAATGTGCGCCGCGCGTTGCTCATACAGGAGAAGAGCGCGAAGGCAAAAAGTCATAATCCACGACACAGCCATCAAAGGAGGAGCACTGCTCCCCATACGTAACGCGTAAGCACCACAGTCTACACATACACACATTTTATATGCGACACAAACATTGTACATATCAAACGTATTCCACTCGATATATGCGCAGAGAGGAGTAAGAAAAAAAAAGGTAAGAAAAGGTGGCGGCTCTCCTTTTCTCTCTCTCTCTCGATCTCGCTGCCGTTGTATACACTCGCTGTTCGTCGTTGGTACAAAGCCTAAGGGCAAATCTCTCAAAGACTTAACCACAGCGAAAACACATACTCTGTACTTTTCTGCAGAGCAGCTGAGAGTAGTAGCTAGTACTACACAACATACGTACGTTGTATACGTGCGCGCGCGCTCGATTTCCCTTTCTCGAGCTGCTGCTGCTGCTGCTGTGCGGCAAGCAAGAAGAAGAAGAAGAAGAAGAAGAAAAGCGAGGCCGGATTAGGTAGCATGGGTTTACGTGTGTATGTGCTTGCGTATATATAGCGTGTCTTCCTTGCAAGCGTCGACGTAAATAGTTCAATCAAGACGAGCTTAAAGTCGTAAGCTGCTTTTACGCAGCTCTGCAGCCACCACCGCACACTGCTGCTGCTGCTGCAAGCTTCGAGCTTTTACCCGTGCACAAGCGGCATACAACGTTGTACGTTCGCGCGCGAGTATGTGTATATATTTACAAGCTCTGCTCGAGTCGAGCGAGCGAGCAAATGGTTCAAGCTCACGCCGACGATCGAGCGCTGCTGCTGTACGCAAGCTCGCAGCGCTCAGCAGCGAGGAGAATTTTTCGATATTGAAATATTTTAGTCCCTCTTTTTTTTTAAACTTTTTTCTAATGGAAAGCCGATTTTTTTCTCGCTTCCGAGCTTATGGAGAGTATTATGTTCTTTGGGTGCAGAGCGGCGCGTGGAGTACAGCAAGCGCGCGCGCGCGTAATCCCATTTATATCTTCGGCAGTCGGATTCGTTACGTGCAAAACAACGCGCGAGATGCCACCAGCTCTTTTTTTATTATTATTTTTATTTTAATATTTAAATTGAAGTTTTATGGGATTTGATGACAGCTTGTAGGCGAGAGAGAGAGAGAGAGCTTTTGTTGCGTGATTGGGAAAGAATCTTCCTCTCCGTCCTTTTTATTTTTTAATTTCCATGGCTTATTACGAATCTTTTCTCGAACAAATTTGAAATTAATGAAATTCATGTGGCTATGCGAAGAGAGAGAGAGAGCGAGCAACAAAAAGTAAACGAATCACAAATAAATTGTAGCAGCGTAACAATTTTGCCAACTATTTTACGTATTTTATGTTTAATACATACAAACTCGAGGGGGAGGGCGCTTACTCATCACGATAACCTTTATATTATGTACAGAAAAGGCTATTACGTACTTGATGCATTTTCCCTATTATAAATACATAGACGCGACCGGATGCGGCTACTATATAGAGAGAGTAAGTAAAGCATCGAGAAAGAAGAAAACGCAATTTCCTGCGGTGTATAACAACTACGAGAGAACAACAGAGTGAAAGAGAGGTAAAAAGGTGCACACACACATACACGCGCACACAAATTCGTCTGGGCTCTTTTCTCTCTGTCTCTATTGCTTCTGCTGCTGCTGCTGTTAACTGCTGTGCCTGTGTATATACCTCAAAACGGAAAAAAGGCATCGACAGCAGATCCGTTGTAACCATGTTAAAGCACGTACCGTAGAAGTGAGCTGTGGTATATATACCCCCACACACACACACACAAACCCTCAGATATATATAATACACAACGTGTATAATGTATAGATACACACAAGGCGGGGAACGAAGCGCTAGCGATTCACCAAGCGAACTACTACTGTACTAGGCAGTAGTCGTAGTAGTGGAGTCGAGCTGCAGAGGATTACGCTGGCTTGATTGGCAATACACGACTGATAACAAAGCCTAGACCAGAAGGTTTCGCTTCTATGTGTATATACATGCGTCTAACCACACACGCAGCCATATAGCATACAGACGTACACGCACACACACACACAGACGCATACATGTATTTATGGAGAACCGACACGTTGCGCAGCGCGCTGCAAGCCTAAGTCGATTTAATCAGGATTCCACGGAGCCGTAGGTCTCTAACTTACAAGGAGAGGCAGAAACGCGTTCTGGATTACGCAGACGCTTGGATGGTACATGTATATAAGCGCATAACATCTACTACTAGCTACTGTGCAGCTGCAGAGGTTACATATGTGAAACGCCATGCATTGCTCGCTCGATCTCAAGGTACGCGAAAATCGCCTGGATCGCTGCTGCACTGCTACTGCTACCGCTGCTCCGGCTTCGGATTCTGTCGTACACTGCGTCAGCTAACAAGCGTAGTCGATTGTGGCGCGATGATCCCTCGTCACATGCATAAGCTCTCGCATATTATAGATCTCGCGACGCTTAAATGCTGGAAGCGAGTCATTACAATTTTTTTTAATTTTATTTTTTATTTTTTTTTTTAACTCAAACGACTCGAGATAATAATCTTCAGGTGTAAAACGTTGATACGCTCGTCTCGCGTTTATAGTATCTTCGCGTTATACGTGTCGTTTGCATAATTCAACTTAAACATACGTCTGCTCTCTCACTCTGCGCCAGACTCTTATGTGTGTGTGTGTGATGTCGCTGCTGTAAATGTGCGTACCTGCGAGAATTGCCCGCCTCCCCGTGCATATACTATACGCGCGGCTATATTCTACGAAAATACGCGCGGACTAATACGCGAAACAGCAGCGGCAGCGGCGTCGGCGCGTCGGTTGGTTGAGCTGTGCAGTATGCGCTGTGTGTTGCGTCTGCAACTAAACCCAATATTTATTTTAATGTCGGTGTATTATGACCGAGAGTAGTGTATACCACTACGAGTTGCGCTGACGCGGATGCAGTATAAGGTATCCTATACTAGCAGCAGCAGCAGTTGAAGCGCCGCACTGTTTATAATTTCAGCACGCAGGCAATCTCTCTCTCTCGCTCTCTCATTCGCGCGCGCGTTCGCGTAAACGGGAAATTATCAAAATGCTTTAGTGAATTTTTGCGCATTACGTACACTATATGCACTATGTACTGATATATTCGCGCGAGCGCAACAACAGCAACGTTAATCTGATATGGAATTTTTAATTCAAACCGTATATCAAGAATTTCCAGCGCATCTCCCCGTGTATACGCGTGTGCGCGCGAGCTTCCACGGCCGGGTTGCAGCTCATTTTTTGCGAAGTCTCCCCCCACGCGAACCCATACACTACTCAGCGAGAGCAGCCGCTATGTATACGCGTGTATTATATTGTTGCGTACGTGTACCTCGCTCATTGCTCTATTTTTGCGCGCAATATTTATACGCACGATCGAAAATGCTCGGGCGCGGCCCGCTTTTCTCTCGTTCCACTGCATTTGCATATAAATACAAAATCCGTATGTGGCCGCTCGCGCGCGCCTGCAGTAATGGTATATAGCAGCTCAGCTCGAGCTCCGAGTAAAAAGCAAGAACGAACGAACTACGGTATATAGTGTACACATGCATCGCGTAAAAAAAGGGCAAAGTCGAGGGATATTTTTGCTTTATCTGTTTATGCGGACACTCTTCTGAACTATGTGGCGCTTTTTTTCTCGCTCTCGCCGCTACTTTTTGGGCGACTTAAATGTAATATTCTCGCCTCCTCCCCGCTCCTTTTTTTCTCACGCGTGCATAATATCGGGGTAGTTTAACAACGAAAACATGCAAAATACGTGCGAGTATAAACGGTCTTTGAGAAAGAAATAAAACTCGTCCGTCTGCTGCGTGTGCCATGTATTTACTTAGCGGTTCTGCGGTATGCGAGCTCTCATTGACGTTTGAATGACGAGTTTGAGCGTCGAGTATTGCCGAGCGCGTATGCTAAAAAAAAAGATCTGCTCCGACGAAACAAAATAAACAATAATTTCACACACGCACGTAATTTTGTTAAACGTGAAAAAAACCAAGGCAGCGCACGTTTCTACCTTGCAAATTTTGTGTGTATTATCTATACGTTGTTTACTACGTCGCAGGTCTGATAGTGAAAGCAATGGTACTTAATATTACGAAATGATTAGTTTTCTCGAGTGCGAAAGTAAGGTATATATCAATCGTAATTTGTCGTTTAGTAGGCACACGAATTTGGGAATTATTTATAACAGCTATAAGCAGAACGTTTGAATTTCAAAAATCTGTATTTATTCATTCATATTGAAGTAATGTCAAGTGTGTATACGTATATGATAATCATTAGTGTGAAATTGTATATGAAATGGGACGAAAACAAATTCAATCGAACAACTAGTGTGTACACGTGTATAATATTCAAATAAAATTATCATCGTCGTCGGCCGAAAAATCTGCCGAATGTTTACAGTCGAAGTGTACGAGCGCCTCTCAGTCTAAGGCTGATGGATTCTGGATATCCCAGCAGGTCGGTACGACGTAAAATTCGCCCGTATAGTACCCGTTCTTCTTTGGATTCTTGAAGCAGACCTGGGTGAAGCAAATTTTACCCCGCGGGGAATGCTCCCACAACTGAGCCCCGGACCGATAAATTGACCTGGCACACCTGTAACCCCACATGGCATGGTAGATCAGATCCTTGACGCTGCCGTCTTTTTCGATCTTCTGTATGGCAGTGCGTGCCTCTTCTCGAAAGAAGCAGTCGTACCGCCTACCGACGCACTGCAATCTTAGCAACAGCATGCCAGTACCAAGCTCGCTGTCCACGTTAGTCACGGCGAACTCTTGCGTCGGCCATCGCTTGAAGTTGAGCGTCACTTGTAAGGTCGGACGGCCTTGACGATCGAACTGGCTGCAGATGAACTCGTAGTCATTGCTCCAGGTACAGATGCCGATCAAGCCGTTGGCCGTCGAGTATGCCACGTTATCGTGAGGATCATCCTTCTGGTAGTAACCCGTCATCGTGTAAACGCGTAAAGATAGTACAGTGCCGTCCGGTTGGACGATGGAGGCCCGCGCGCGCGATTGATTCGTTCCGTCGTTGGGCACGAAGGTGTCGATCAGTAGGTGGCCGCTGCGCGGTGACCACGGCTCCACAGGGGCCAGTATCATGTCGTCATCCTGGGCGATCTGGTGGAACCAGAAGCTGGGCTCGGTCGACGTGGGTACGGCTTGGTCGTTGAAGGAAAACCTGCATCTCGGCACGTTCAAACCCGAGGCCGGTATCGCGCACGGACTGTCCGGCTCCAAGCTGGAGACCACCACATCAAATGTGTGGTCGTACACAACGATGCTCGCGGGTGTGTAATTCCTTGTACGGACCGAATCTGGCCTGTATTGCCTGCAGTCCTCAAAGTGCAGTACACTCAATAGCCACGAGCCGGTGATATTGCTGCTCTCGTGCTCCGGCTGTATCTGCCAGCTCAGAATTGCCTTGTCTTCGCCGAAGCGCAGCAACTTCATGGCGTCGGGCTTGAGGGGTTTGCGACCCGTTTCCACCAACAGAGGACATTTCTTTTCGGATGTTATATTCATCCAGCCATGGCCCGTCGTAGGCTCCAACTTGGCGTTGGTCGCTTCACACAGTGTTAAGCCCTCGTGGGGAAAATGTGTCGAGCATACGACCTTCACGAAACTTTCTTTATCGTAAGAATGCTGGTCGAAGGCTATGTTCGCGTTCGGGCCCTCGCAGGAACAGAACCGACAGTGGCCCTCTTCATTTTCCGTTGAGACGTTGAGGCTGAACGTCGTTACCAGGAGTAATAAAAGGATTTTCGACACACGCGACATTATCTGAAAAACTAAAATATAACAAAAAACGAGAGGAAAATTTCAGGATATCGAGCAAACACGTTCCGTTTGTGAATTATTGAAATCGGGTACTACGCTTACCTTTGTTTACGTACGTGTACTGTCAATAGCGACGTAAGCAGTCGACTGATCGTAGGTAAATTAATCCATTAACGCGCAAAAGTGCAATTTTGTGCATGAATTTTCCGTTGTAAAAAAATTATAGATAAAGTCAAAATATTTTCTTGAAAATCCATACCCAGGGGTTTTTGGGTATGTTCTTTCAGTATCCGGTGTTATTTTTGCGATAAATAAACATTATCATCGTTTATTTTGTCATTAAAAACAAAAAACGTGATTTTTTGACTCAAAATTTTTTTTCAAAGTCGATTTTCTACCTTGCCTTGCCTTCGGAGGATTCCCATAACACCAGAAATCGTGCACTTTTTCTCTGAACCTTCGGAAAATGCGCTGCTGCGATTTTTATCTTGCCCCTATATTTTAAAATGGCGAATTTATACTGATCAGCGGTATAAAAATTCACTCATTTTTTACTCAGAACCTATTTTACATGCGCTAAATATGAACTCAAAAATACAATTTGAAGTGTAAAAACTTATTTGAAATCGTTTAGAGAATACGTGTGAATTTTTTCAGAATTTTTCAGATCACTTTGAAAATTTTGCAAAATACGACCATTTCCCGGCCTGTCGAAAAAATCCAAAATGTTCCAAAAAAAATCTGAAAAATTCTGAAAAAATTATTAAAAAATTCTAAAAAAAATTCACATGTATTCTTTGAACAAATTTGAACACTTTTCATTGTATGACTTTCTTTTATAAAGTCAATAATTTACAAATAAAAAATAAGGCAATTTTCATATCGCTGCTCGGTATAAATTCGCCATTTTAGAAATATAGGGGCAAGATAAAAATCGCGGCAGCGCATTTTTTGAAGGTTCAGAGAAAAAGTGCACGATTTCTGGTGTTATGGGAACCCTCCGAAGGCAAGGCAAGGTAGAAAATCGACTTTGAAAAAAAATTTTGAGTCAAAAAATCATGCTTTTTGTTTTCAATGGCAAAATAAACGATGATAATGTTTATTTATCGCAAAAATAACCCCGGATACTGAAAGAGCATACCCAAAAACCCCTGGGTATGGATTTTCAAGAAAATATTTTGACTTTATCTATAATTTTTTTACAACGGAAAATTCATGCACAAAATTGCACTTTTGCGCGTTAATGGGTTAATGTAACTTAACGATCAACGTCGACTGTATCCCACTCAAGTTATGATTTTCAATACTTATAATAATAACGATATTTCATTATCTGCGTGTAACTTTAAAATTCCTTTTTCTCCAACGTTTCAGCCTTAAATTAAATTTTGATCGTTCCTCTTGCCTAACCAATGCGCAAGTATTCCAAAAAACTACTTCAATCCTGATAGTAATCGAAATTTTATTTATTTTTCGCAATTGTCGTATTTTTTCGGGATCGATGAATAAATTGTTTGGAATATTTTCAAAACCCCGTGAATTAGAACAACGCGGAAGTTAGGACAATGCCTAATTGTATCATCATTTATACAGGAAAAGAGCAGTAGTCACACTTTTATAATAAAACTCTATGCCAATCTATTGGCCACGGGTTTTCAAGGCCAGAATGTAGCTTTAAATGTGCATTATATTCTGTAGAATAAAAAAGTTGATGCTTGAATTTTCATTTTTGATTTGTTACAGAAGAAGCTTCATGATAGGCTCTAAAATTCGTTTTTCAATTAGATATTGTAGAATAATTAAAACATATTTCTAAACAAGATTGAATTCCCAATACATTTGCAGAACCATATCTTGAGAAGGGGACGATAAGTCGTGCCGATGTAAATGTATACACATGTGTAACAGCGACTGTGCGTATGTATAAGTATAGGCGCAGAGAAATAACTTACGTCGCGCAGGATAAACTTCGGTGTGGCGGGGCACAAGCCGAGGCGCTGTAAAGCCAATCAACTGCAAATATTCCCATTCGAGTTACTGCGGCTGCTATGTCGCACACACCTTTAACCGCGTACATAAATCGCTGCTCAGCTTCTTAAAACCATCGTCGAGGAGTTTCCAGCCAGCGCGCCGGACAGAAGCTTACAATCGAATTTCCATAAGCTCTTTAATGTGCTGTATACGAGCTTCTGCGAGAAAGAGACGGAGAGAGAGAAAAAGAAGCGAACGAGGCGACGCGCAGTCAATTAAGGCACGGCGGACCGAGACGCGCTCTGCACTGGCCTAAAGCCTAATACTCGGGTTGTACCATTGATGTCACTATTAGACTTAGTCCCTGAGCACCTGCGCACCGCCATCGCCGAGGACGACGACGACGAGCATTTGCTATATATAAACGTATACATTTAATACGAGATGCTGTATACGAGGAGAGCTTTCGGGGGTTTTTTACGCAAGCTTTGCGCGACAAATAGACTTTTTTCTTGCGCGCCGAGGTGGGAGCGCTTGAAAAATGCACGAGACGAGGAAAAAAAGCACTCGGCTGTTTATCAAATTTTCTCTCGTATTTATTTCAGTGGTTGACCGTGAATTATTCAAGTTTTCGTAACGCGCGCAAGGATCAGAGGGTGGATTCGGAAAAGATGTCGAGATAAAAAGAAGGCGATTCAAAACACGGACGCAGATGTTAGTGACTCGTGAAAATAATTTTATTTGTAAGACAATTTGTAAACAATTTTTAAAACAATTTTTCAGTGAGAAATGAATATGAAATAGTTCGGAAGAAAGATTAAAATACATACTCCACTCTATCTGAAATTTTCATCCAGGTATTGTTTTCAAAGTTGCATTCAACTTCTTTCTTATTTTTCTTAACCGTAGGTCATTACAGGGCGATTTCCATGTAACTTTTTTGTGACCATACCAAGCGAGACTGGAAAGAAGTTTCACTTCAATATCAAAAGTGGCTCCTTAACAATTACAAATGAACACACAGAGTAAAAAAAACTCCTGCTGCACGCGAGTAGCTCCTCTATTTCTTGCCCTCGCTTTGATGATTCATCATCATCATCATCGTGACCGTGTCTCGGGTAGAAATTTAAATACAACGCCTAAGTAATTAACGCTGATTTTCAAGAGAAGTAAGCGCGTGTACTTGAAGCGGAGCAAAAAAAAAAGTACGAACGTCGAGAAGCTAGCTAGACTACGACGACGAGCGTAGAGACACGACCTTAAGTAAAACAAACGCCCTTAAAATTTTCACTGGCATCCAGTTAATTATTTTCCAGCTGCAGGAGAGGAGAGCTTTTATCGCTACGTCTCGACGACAAAAACGATGCTGCCGAGGAATGAAAAATGAAAGAAAGAGAAAAAAAATGATAATGCAAGCGCGGAGCACAGATGAGCTAGAGCGGGAGCGCACAGAGAAACGAGAGAAGAAAACGATAATGTTCCGCGACATGCGTGTGTAGAGAAAAGAAAATCATCCAACGGATGAACTATGAATGGAAATATTTATGAGGAACTTCAAATTATTTTCTCGCTCCTCGGAAGGTCGATTTTTTCAGCTTAGCTCGAGAGTCGAGGCGTAATCAGTATAAATATAATTTCCGAGCGCGCGCGCGCGGTTATAAGAGCTGAAAATGCAACGGTGCTCAGTATCATCATCAAGCCGAACTGTTCTTTATCTTCGCCTTATATTTCTCATTCTCGCGCTTAGGCAAGCACCAAAAACTCGACTCTCGCAGCTGCAGCTCAGCGGAGAGCCACACACAGTGTGCGGTGTAAGCTCTTTTTGCCATAGAGAGAGAGAAAAGAGTGAGCTGCAGAGCGAGAGAGAAAAAGTGGCCTACGGCGATTAAAAAAGTTTCATTAACGCCACTCTCTTTTTTTCCACTCCTCTCTCCTCTCCCGACTCTCTTTTCTCTCTCTCGGTCTCTTTGTATGTGTGTATGCAGTTCTCTCTCTATATGTATTCAACGCTTATACTCACGGAAATTGAGAGTACGGATCCTCCCTATATCCGTTTGACACGCTCAATTTCATCGGGTTTGCCAGTGTCCATCCTTTTTTTCCTATCTCTCCCTCCCTTTTTCTCTCATATTCTTTCTCTCTGTCACGATGTGTGTGCGCGCGGGCGCATGGTGTGTTCTGTTTTTGGCGCCTGGTCTTGTTCGCGGAAAATATGCGAGTGTCCGTTTTGTTTCTTGTTCTCCATCCCTTTTTTTTCCTCTCTCTCTCTCTCTCCATCTCGTTGCCGCAACTGCACGCGTGTTTCGAAAAAGCGAACTATTGCCTGCAGTTGTCTGGTCGTTCATTCTTTTCTCGAGAGCCCCGCCACCGCCGCCGGGGCAATTGTGTAAAGCCGCGTAGCAGCAGCAGCAGAAACGAGCAACGAATTTGAATGCAGCGCCAGATATTGGATAACTTTTGTATTTGTCGAATGAAATATTAGGATTGTTCGCGATGAATGACGCGTATGCGGCAGTGCGGCGGTCGTGTCGTGCTCTCTCGGTCTTGTACGCGCGAGCAATATGCTCGCCCCGCGTCGGTATTCCGGAGCAGACTTTTCCCCGATTGATTGGTCGCCAATCGGCCGTAAAAGTAAAAAGCTCGATGCTCGAGTAAAAAAAATCGAGTGCTTCATTATATTAATTCGTTTATTTTCTCGAAATCAAAGCGTCACTTTTATAATGCATCAAAAGAGCTCGCGTAAATATGATTCGTTTGACTTTTTCGAACGGAAACGATTCCATTGACCTATCGATTATATTATTATTTGGGTCGTAAAAAACGCTAAATCGCACGATTATTTTCATAATCAAACCAACGGGCATTTTTCACACAACATGTGCTGCAGCTGCATCGGCTGCCGCGATGAAACTTTATACTGGTTCAATAATCATCCATTTATTCTGCGCACACGGAGAACGTCCGTCGCTGTGTACACACACGCGCATATAGGTGCGCGAGCGAGCACACACAAAACATATCGAATTTCTACTGTCTGGCCTCCCGCTGCGGCCTGAGCAATGATACTTAGTCAACGAAAAAACGCAAAAATCATGCTACACCGTGATACAAACGCACGCACACGCATTCCCGGCCGGGCCCGTGAGTGTGTGTGCGTGCATACGCACGAAATCAAATTTTGACTGCTCAATCCTCT